GCTCCTAACACTGTGACCTTTAATACAGCTCCTCATGGTGTGACCCTTTAATACAGCTCCTAACACTGTGACCTTTAATACAGCTCCTAACACTGTGACCTTTAATACAGCTCCTAACACTGTGACCTTTAATACAGCTTCTAACACTGTGACCCTTTAATACAGTTCCTAACACTGTGACCTTTAATACAGTTCCTAACACTGTGACCTTTAGTACAGCTCCTAACGCTGTGACCTTTAATACAGCTCCTAACACTGTGACCTTTAATACAGCTCCTAACACTGTGACCTTTAATACAGCTCCTAACACTGTGACCTTTAATACAGCTTCTAACACTGTGACCTTTAATACAGCTCCTAACACTGTGACCCTTTAATACAGCTCCTAACACTGTGACCCTTTAATACAGCTCCTAACACTGTGACCTTTAATACAGCTTCTAACACTGTGACCTTTAATACAGCTCCTAACGCTGTGACCTTTAGTACAGCTCCTAACGCTGTGACCTTTAGTACAGCTCCTAACGCTGTGACCTTTAATACAGCTCCTAACGCTGTGACCTTTAATACAGCTTCTAACACTGTGACCTTTAATACAGCTCCTAACGCTGTGACCTTTAGTACAGCTCCTAACGCTGTGACCTTTAATACAGCTCCTCATGGTGTGGTGACCCCCAACCATAACATTATTTTGGTTGCTATTCATAACTAATTTTTCTACTTTTATGAATCCTACTGTAAATATTTTTGGAGATAGAAGTTTGCCAAAGGGGTGTCTGTCCACAGTTTGAGAATCACTGTTCTCGAACCTTGTGGGAACTTATCTGAGATCTCTGAGTGTTCTAGCAGAGACGGTAAGACTTACATAGCTGTGCTAGCGTAGTGTAGAACCCACCACATAAGGTTTGTGTGACCAAATCCATTGCAGATCTAAGCAGAACAATGTCACAGTCAGATTCACCTTGGAGAAGATGACCCTGCGGTGTGCTGGGGCCTCAGGCTGCAGTTAAGGGTCCTTTGTAATCTGTCTGTAATCAGCTGTGGGAGGTTGAGGGCTTGGTCAGGGCACTGACAATGAAGATGAGTTTGAGATCAACTGGTGGCTTGACTGGTCTGCTGTCTTCTCTGGGCAGAGACCCCATGCCTGGAGTCAGGAGCCAGGGTCTACCACACACAGAGCTAAGGTCACAGAGGAAACGGTGGAAGCATGGACTGAGCAGTGTGGACTCTGAAATGCCCCAGCACAATACAGTCAGGTGCTGGGCTGGCCATGCTCACGGAGTTTTGGATTATAGGAGGGCCTCGGGATGGCTCCCTGTAGACAGCCATCAGCATTGCATGGTTACTAAAGAATGCATGTGCAGATGCCTCTCCAGGAGCGAATCTGGAGCTTGGAGAGGGCTGAGGACCAGAACAAAGGAGCTTGAGGAGTTCCAGGCAGAGGGTGAGCCCAAGGGCTTGGTGTGTTCTAGATGTCTAGAAAAGAAAGGAGTGGGTGGGATGGTCAGCTGCGGCAGAAACTGCCCAGGACTGGTGAAGGAACACATGATCTGACCTCCAGGCAGCTGCCAGGGACCCTGAGTACCACACAAGGGCACAGAGACAGACCAACTCCTGAGGTGTGGGGGTCAGAAACTGGGGAGGTAGCCTAGGCCACGGACACAGACTTGCAGGAAGGCTGCTAGAGAGGAGCCCATGCCTCTGCATAGTTGACACACCATTGTCCTGATGACAAGCTTCCTTCTCTGTCACTGTATTGGTCATAAAAGAATTTATTTGGGTTTTCATGACAAGGAAGCAGACGGCATGCTGACCAGAACAGCAAGCTGAGAGCTCTTGTGCAAGCGCAAAGCAGAAAGAACTAAAAGCAGCAGGAGCCTTTGAAACTATCAAGGTCTGCCTTGAGTAACACACTTCCACAAGGTCACACCCTCTGAACCTCTCCCACACAGTGCCACCATCTGGGGGCCAAAGCATTCAAATGCATTTAAGCCACCACAGTCCCTTATGGAGGTACCCTTAGAAATGGAGGAAGTGGTGTGGAGCAAGGGGTTCCCCAGCTTCTGTCCTGGGACAGTGCAGGCTGGGCTGGAGCCCTCCAGGCATTGTCTGAGCGACTGTCCTCATCTCTCTGGTCTGTTTCTTGTTTACTTGTGATAGTTAGGGGTGTAGTTTGCTTGTTTGAAATTAGCTCTATCTCCGGGTGGTCCAGGCTGGCCTCCTCCCTCAGTCTTTCAGGTTCTGCAAGACCAGTGAGCTATGACACCTGGCTCTCACTGAGTCCACTTTATCTGCTGGATGGAGTGAGGTCATAGATCTCCCACCATGCTCAGCCTTCAGGCAGCAGACACAGGGCAAAGTACTTATATGTGTGTGGTCACCATGCCTTGCTTTTTATGTGGATGACCCGAAATGCCATGGAAGAAGACAAGGGGTGTTTGATCAGGGTTGAGCAGAGCTTTCTTGTTCAGTAGAAAATGTACAGTTTATGGGGAAAGCAAGTTTGTTCATGTCAGCTTTAGTTGTCAAGGTCTGTAAATTTTCCTAATTGAAGAATGGAGCTATGTACATGGATATATGTTTCAGTTTAAGGATGTCATCCATTAACCCAGATTAGGCAGAGCTTTTCCAACCTGGAGAAGACCTTTGTCACACTCCTAGGCATTAACCCACTTCTTCCATAAGGTGGCGCCATTCTGACGTTGCTCCTCTGCCTGAGCTTGTCTGCTTGCTGTATGAGCCTTGTGCAATTAAATTCATCAGTAGGCCTGAAGGACTGGCTAAAGGGAGGGGTTTGTTTTGTGTTTGCTTCCTACACAAGTACAAACAAAAAGCTGAATTGTAAAGGAAGTGACTCTAAAGCGATCCCAAGCAACACCATGGAGAAGAGAGGAGTTGGTGGCCGCTGTGGTAAAAGGGCAGTGACCCTGTCTTCCTAAGTGACACTTCTAGATGGAACACAGCACATAGTGTTCAGAATCCCACCAAGTGAGAGGGAATATTAAATAGAAAAACAAAACAAAAAAAATGATTCTTTGGTGCTTGGCTGTTTGTATGTTTGATGCGTAACACTTTAAACATATATTCTGCTGATGCAGAAATCCTGACACAAACACCCCCCCCCAAAAAAAAGAAAATTTAGAGGGGGGAACAGTTGGTTTTGACTGACAGTTCCAGAGGGGATATGACCCATCATAGCAGGGGAGGCATAGATAGTAACAGGAGCATAAGACAGACTGGCAGTCAGGAAGCTGACTGATCTATTCATTAGCATACAGGAAGCAGGAAGAGTGAAAACAGGAAGTGGGACCAGGCTTTAAAAACTTCAAGGCCACCACAGTGACAGGTTTCCTCCAGCAGGACTCCACCTCTTAACATTACCGAAACCTCCCTGAACAGCACCAGCTGGGGGCAAAATTTCAAGCAAATGATCTTGAGGGCACCTTTCACATCGAAACCACAGCACCCAGGCAGTTAATTTGTGTCTTGAAATATCAGAACCTCCTGTGACAGTTACTTTGCAGTCCTTAGACACTGACCTTAGATTTTATTTTTGAATTCACATAATGATTTTTTAAAGATAGTCTAATACACATTTTCAACAGTCCCTGATCAATATACCAATGGCTTTGAAATGACAGAGTACCACGATATTCCTCTGTAATTTAAACATGATTAGCTGATGAAGGTTATGATCAATACATGGAGGGGAGATAAATTAATTGATATCATCCTTTCAGGGTGATGAGAAGCCTTTTGGAGGTGGGCCGTGACTGATGAAGTGGCTGCTTCGTCTCTGGGAACCATTTTTTATAGATTGCATTTCCACTTAGTCATATTTAGCACTATCACTCATTTGCACAAAAGCCATGAGCTGTGGAAACATCAGTTCCTGCTTAAAGTTGTGTTCATTTGGAAGTGAAATTATCTGTGAGCACCTTGTGGCCTCTGTCTCCTGTAACTGTTGGTCTGGAGAGGCAGAGTGTCTCAAAGCAGCAGTGTGTGCCCAGGCGAGGGTGGGGGGTCTCCAGGCTTAACTCCAGTGCCCCCCCCAAGACTTACCTCCATTCAGGTACAAGCTGCAGCCACTCTTGCAATGACACCTATTTGTGTAAGAATGGTTCTCTAATCGTTGACTTCCTGTGCAGTTAAATTCCACATGCTTTATCAGTAAGCCTGTTTGCTGAGAGAAGTTATGGCTGGTTGAATTTAGATTTGTGTTGATTAAGATAAACTGGTCATATGTTTGAATTTTTGTTTAAAAAAGGTCCTTGTTATAATTACTCTTGCTTGAGTATAGTTGTACACAGCCTGTAGAGTTTACTCGTCATTCTTCAGGCAATGAAAAAAATAAACAAACAAGCAAATAAATAACTAAAATCAAAGGGATTTTGCTTAATTTCCTTATTTGGGATCACTTTTAAATAAGTGGTAAATACTATTTTATGAGACAGGAATGTGTTCTTGTACATCTGAGTCCCCTGAGGTGGTCCAGGCAGGCTGACTGAAGCCCTCGGGAGTTAGCGCTGGTCTGTTTGGCCTCCTATCTCACTGCTGTGGCTTCCATCCCTGTGTCACTGATGGTCCTGGGTGGCTCCTGGCACCAAAGTCACATCTGTAGGTTTCAGAGAGATTAAACAAAAAGACAAAGAAGAAAGGGGGCAAAGAGCAGCTCTCACCTGAAGACGGGTCCTGGAAGCCACATGGGCGTTGTGCCCTCGTCACATTGGCCAGGCTTCATGTATGCTCTCATTCCAGTGCTCAGGGCTTGCTTGTGCTCCAGTCCCATTGGCCAGAGCTTGCTTATGGGCCATGTAGTCAGCTGGGGTATGGGATTCGGAAGCTGGAGAAATGTCCTGTTTATCCTGGTCGTCAGGTATCCTAATGAAACTTGCTGGTGATGTAGAAATGGCAGGAGCCAGGGATCACCAGAGGCCCCTGTTCACCTCATATCCAGCCGCGAGCCTCACACTGGGGTCTCCTGTCTCTGTGTCCACTAGTTGCCCAGAAGATCGTTGCCACGAGGAAGAAGCAGCAGCTGTCCATAGGACCCTGCAAGTCCTTGCCCAACTCACCAAGCCACTCCTCTGTGTGTTCTGCCCAGGTGTCAGCCGTGCACATCAGCCAGGTAAGACCAATGGTGCGGAAGGAGAGGCAGCCAGTGAGCGCCAAGGAGGGCTCTGGGCAGCAAGTGTTCACAGCCCGTGCCAACTTTGCAAATTACAGCATGTTTATGATTGACTTCCCATTGCCTTCAGAAGTTGCTGTGGCCAGGTGGGCTCTATGGGAGTCAAATCTTTAATGTTCTCTTTGCACACTGCCTGCTTTATGAGGTTTGCTGACATGGGATGGCACCAGGTCTATGTAACAGAACAGTCTTTCTCTGTTTCACCAGCCAGCTCCCAGATAATGACACTGAGACTTCTTACTAATTGTGAAAGCCTGGCCTCTGGCTTAGGCTTGTTCCTAACTAGCTCTCATAACTTAAATTAACCCATTTATATTCATCTACATTCTGCCACATGGCGTTACCTCTCTTCCATCTCCATGTCTCCTGGCGTCTTCGCCTTTCTTCTCCCCAGAGTGCTCTCTGTTCCCACAAGTCCTGTCTGACCTCTTCCTGCCTGGCTATTGGACATTCAGCTCTTTATTAAGCCAGTCACAACAATATATCTTCCCACAGTATACAAATACCCCATAGCAGGTATATGCTGCCATCTTTGCTGTGGGTTGAAATCACTGGCTTTGCTCTTGATTAATTTGTAGGTCGAACAGTTGTGAATAAGTCTTACTGGCTAAGGAATGCACTTATGCTTAGATCTGGAAGTTGGTTATAACTACTATCTCCTTTAGGCCCCGTAGAAGGCCTTCCCTAACAACATTTTGCTAAATTATTGATTTGGAAGCAAGGTACTTGTCGCAGGGATCCACCCAGGACCTCATTAAGGAGCTGGTGACTTGCTGGTCTTTGTTCTGTGATCAGCCCCCCTTGGGTGAGTGTCCCAATGCTGCCTTTTCCAAATGTCACAGTGAGCAGAGTTTCTTGAAAGGGCTCAATTTGCCCTGAGAAGCCATTGCCTTGGTACTTATACCACCGGCGCCTAAGATGGTCTAACCACACACCTGAATCCCTTCATGATTGGTGTCTTCAGGTTTTGAGTGATGTAAAAATGTTTTAGGATACTACTCTGATTTGTGAGATGTCATTTAAGAGTGGTTGCTTGGTGTTCTGAGTGACCATTCCTTCTTTATCCCAGGAAGAACAGGGGCAGGGAAACACCCATGGGGCCATTTTTTAACTGCAGTTTTGCTTTTCAGAGGAAGAATGATTATTTTTTCCCCACTTTTTCAAAGTTTGCTGCATGTGGTAACTCACAACTAAAGTCTCAATAGTCTTGAGGTTGAGACAGGAGGATTGCTTTAATTCATGTCCAGAAAGAGCTTTAGGTCAGCCCAGGCTACAGAATGAGACTCTGTCTCAAGAAGCAGAAAGAAATCTTCAAGCTCCACTGTGGGTCCCTCTGAGGTCCTTTTTCTCAGATAAAGCAACACTTGCTTCCAGCAGCCCTTGGTGCTAGGAAAACTGGCCAGATATGGGGGCTGACACCTTGTCTCCCAGATGCTTCTTTGTTTCCGCTTGCTATTTCTTCTTGCTGTGACCCTGCTCCGGTGTTTTTGTGCTGTTAAGTTCACAGAGCATTGATATTTTTGTTTGTTTTCTTAATTTTTACAGACAAGTAATGGAGGCGGGAGTCTGAGTGACTACTCCTCCTCAGTCCCTTCGACCCCAAGCACCAGCCAGAAGGAGCTGCGGATCGACGTCCCTCCCACTGCCAACACCCCGACACCTGTCCGGAAGCAGTCCAAGCGCAGGTCCAACCTATTCACAGTGAGTGACAGTCCTTGGGACCAACCTCTCTGTGTCACCTGGCATCTTAATTGCAGTAGCATGTCTGTCCCAGGGTCCAGTGATGTTTGCAGAATCCAAGCTAAATTTAATGAGAATCCCAATGGCTCTGGAGTGTGAGGAAGTTGTGAGAAGAAGATTTGGGTCCTGAGCAGATGGGAATTACCTGACGGGGACTTAGCGTGAATCCTGAGGAGTTTGTGCTCAACCTTTACCCTCCCAGGACTTCCATGGTCTCACACTAAAGCCTTGTGTTAGACACAGAGAGATGGTGAAGATCATAGGGGATTCCCATTTGCATCTGACCAATCGCAGAGAGGCCTTAGCCATCAGACCTGTTTACCTGTTGGGGTCTGAGAACTGTCCCCAGAGATGGACATAAGGCTAGAACTTGCCCTTCCTTTAATATTGCAACCCCCACCCCTATCTCTGGAACTTCTAGGGACTCCCTGCCATAGGCTTCTCTTGATCTTTCCTCAGAGTACTCCAGGGAGTGTCCTGGATTGAAATCTGCACTTTGTTTTGGAAACCCCAAGTGCAGGATGGGGCCAGGCATGGATACTTTTACAAGCTCTTTGGGCTCATGGGTGCAGATACTGCCTGAATGGCAGAAGAGGTGGACACATACTGTTTCCCGCCTCTTATGCCCAGCAGACATCGCCAATCAATCATGGATGGCTTTGCAGTTGAGTCTTTCTCTCCTTGTCCCTCTCTGTGCAGTGTCTGCACTTAAAGCCTCTGCAAATCATTGGCCTCTGGTTTTGGTTGGGCCAGACTGACTCGGTCACAAAGAAGTTTCTTAGTCCCGCCTTGACCTGAAGTAGATCTCCCAGAAGTAGCTAGAAGTTCATTTTCTGACTTGATGCTTTCAATTGAAGATGGTCACATGATGCTGTGGGTATCTGACAGATCTTTGGGTGCCTCACTCTTTCCCGCCATTTTCGTGACTGTCTCCTTGGTTAGATTCTTCATGCTCAGGTCTACTGATGACATAAGGTCCCCTTTGAGCCACTCTTTCCTTTCCTTTGCCGGCCTGTATCCTGCAGCTCTGACAGACACTGCTGGCTGTTGTTTGACCTTAGACAAATCACTGAACCTCTCTGATCTGGGAGCAGTAGCTACTCTGCAGTGGGGCCGTCAGTTGGGAGCGCTCCCCAGAGGGGCAGAGGAGTCTTAGTGGTATCATTTGTGGGTTCTGTTTCCATTGCTATTGAAATCAGTGATGCTCAGCAGAAGTAGTTAGACTGACTGCTCAGTAGGTGTGGAGGGGTTGTTTTGGCTTCTACAAGGTGCAGGCAAGTGTCTGATTATAGTACAGGTGAGTGTCTGATGACAGCACAGTCGAGTGTCTCATGGGCTACAGTAGTGCCCAGATGTAAGATGGTGCATTGTAAAGTTTCTTAGACATACAACATGAGCAGCCACATGAACAGTGGGTTTCTAACTGGATACCCAGAGCAGGACTGTTAGATAAAAAGGGTACTCATCTACTTGTGACTCAGTGGGTCCAAACACCCAATAGCAGAAGCCTCAGTTGGCGCCAGAGGCGTTGGGCTTCAGGATGTACTAGTCCTGGAGTGCTGCTTGAGAAGTTTCTGTATCCCTACTCTACACTGTAGGGAGTAGTCATGGAGGCCCAGCCACTGGTTCCTGCCTCGCACCATTCAGTGCGCAGTAACTTTGGTTTCTGCCATCTGAAAGAAATAAGACAACCAGGAAATACTGTTTTAAACAGAACCATTTGTGAGGAGATCCTGTCCCTCTACCCAAAAAGGTCTTTGGGCCTGGATGATTGACACAACTCACATGACCTGCTGAGAACCTGAAGAAAAGGGAAAAAATGATTGGCTAAAGCTGTTCTTCAGAGCCCTGGCCATGTTCAGTGTCTAGGAGGTATGCTCATGGCCAGAGCTAGCCACACTAAAAGAGAAACAAAGGCCAGGAAGCCACAGAGCTACAGGTCTTACACAAGCTGTCTAAGGCGAGTGATGGAGGATCCCAATCAGTTGCATCACAATCGACATATCTTAGAATGCCTCTGCTGCATGTGTGCAATGTATTTGTTCTCTTCCTTCCTCTGTAATGTCAGGAGACAGTTTGAGAATAAAGCATTTAAAAAAAAAAGTTGAATCTAGCTTCCCAACTAATATTCATGGAACAGAAATTTGGGGTCCTGTGAGAATCTAGTAATGCAACAGGTTTGTGTTGTGGCATTTAAGGATCAGCATGCTGAAATTCCTGGAAAGAGCCAGCATATGTGTTGGTCCAAGGTTTGGCTCTGCCATTGGGCAGAATGGCAGTGGAGGTGGAGGTGAGCATTTTGAGTTGAAGGACTTGGAAACGTCGACTCCACTAGATGTCAGTGTCATACAAGGAATGGAAAGAAGGTGAATTAATTCTGAAATCTGAGCAATTAAGAATCCAGATTTCAATCGGTAACAGCCTGCTTCTATCTTTAAATATGTCCAGTCTTGCAGCGTCTTCATCTCTGTCGCTATGGGTGACTTTTGACCAGCATTGTCAAAGTGTGTATGCGTTTAGACCTGTCAACAGCTGTGCCATATACAGACCATCTTAGTTACGTTCCCTAGCCCAGAGTGGAGACGCGCAGCTGGCTGGTGGGCACTGTCCACTTGCCTATAGCAATTCTATAAAGGCTGGAGGTCACCCGTGTGCACACAGCTCTCATCCTGCTGTTCCGTAGTCCCGTGTGGAGATGCGCAGCTAGCTGGTGGGCACTGTCCACTTGCCTATAGCACATTCTATAAAGGCTGGAGGTCACTCAGTTCTCATCCTGCCCTCACTTGTCTTTTAAGATGGTTCTGTGCCACACGGGGGTAACATTTTCAGCTCTCAGATGTTTTGTTTACAAACATACAGGTTTAAAAAAATACATCCCATGTATTTTACATGAAATTATATAAACTCAGCACTCCAGTTGTAGCGTGTTACGCATTACTTTGCAGTGGCAATTATGTATGCCTTGCCAGTGGGAATTTAAATTGTATCATGTTTTATGTAAGGCCATTGTCTTGAGAAATGAAACGTCAAAAGATGACCCATTGGATGCCTGCTTTAGAAATAACAGAATTTTCTTAGAACAATTCATTTAGTAGCCCGATGGACATGTAGTTAGAATATTTTATTGAATAACACTATGAAATATATAAGAATTACAAAAATAAAAACCGTACGTGTGTTCTCTGTAATAATCATGAGATTGATCAGGTTGCAGCCACTGTGTCATGAAGAACACACATCCTCAGTGAAAGCCCACGCCTCCCCATCCATCCCCTGCCTCTGTTCCAGGGCTTGCCACTCACCTGAGTTGGTATCCGTGTGTTGACTGCTTTTGTGGGTGTGAAGCTGGCAAGGCTCCTTAAGTTCTGAATGGCAATGCTCCATGTTTTTTCAAGCTTTTAAAGAATTGTGTTTTTCCCCGGTGTTTTAAAAACTTGCTGCGTGATGCTGATACCATTAAACAGCTAAGCACACCAGTATCCAAAGATTGCAAAGAACCTAGACCTACTCAGAGAAGCTGACTGGAGAGAAAAAAGGACAATGAGATCCTTAATATAAAAGATTTGACACTTGGTGTCTTGCGGAGAACAGGAGCCTTGAAGCCTGGCATGGTGTGTTCCATCTGCTCCTGGTTGGAGCTGAGAAAGCAGGCTGTTTGATGGGCAGCATTGCCAGCCACGATTCTCTGCCCAGTGTGCAAGGAACTTTGTTTATTACGTATAGGGAGTACACGTTTTTGAAATGAAGTAGATGATTCCCTTCCCTCTGTCTTCGGTGTCTAGGGCTCAGCAGTCATTCTGGTGGCTTTAAGTGTCCAGATGTGCAATGGGTGTGTTACACTCTGGTTCTGAAGAATGCGGCAGGCTGCCTAGAGCAACGGGTACCAAGGGCTGCCAACAGCATCTAATGGGCAATTTTGGCAGGGAGGGGAGAAAACGTACCACTGGAGTCTCTCTGAAGAGGAGAGCAAGGAGTCCTCCCGTGGAATTCAGAGGTGCAGGGTTTCATATCTAGTGGATTTGTTGTGGTTTGGTTGGTAGATTCCAGTGTCCTTGAGTCAGCCTGCTGCAGACGGCAGACCCTCTGCCCAACAGCTTAGCTTGTGGGAGCTCCTTTCTTTAGTTTTATGACACTTTCCACAAACATGGCACCGGCATTGATGGATTCCTTTTTTTCCCAATGTGTACCCTGACTTTGTCTCCTTGGTCTCTGAGCCTGTGAGTGTGCTGAGCATGGCTCCTGCTTCTTTACGGATTTGGAACTGCGTGCAGCGACTGGCTGCTGCCTCCTCAGTTCTGTGGAATCAGGAAGTCTGCTCTTAGAACAGCGGCTGGGGACAGATGCGCCGCCTCCAGGAAAATGTTCATTTTTAAAAAATGTTTGTTTTGTTAATTATTCTGCTTAATGGAGAATAATGAAGATGGATTTTCGAATTTAGGTATTTAGAACTGCTACAGTTCCCCAAATGCCCTTAATGCTCTCCATTGGTTCAGAATTTCTGAAATATCGTCAGCTATGAGCTTAGGACCTTAATTTTCCAGTTGGAAACCTCCTGTGCTCACATTCCCACCAACTGACGTCAAGTCTTGCTCTGCGTTGCTAACTGATGAGTAGAGACTGAAGGAGTTTCTATGGCATAGCTGAGGGTCATGGTGATGGCACACAGCATGGGGACCCAGGAGGCATTTGATAAATGCAAAAGCCCCTGTAACCAGCTAAGAGCGAGCCTTCTCACGTGCATGGCCACGTGGCAAAGTCACCACCTTTGGAGTGCCCACACTGAATTGCTATCACAGGCACCTTTCTCTGGGTCTCTGGCAGTATCCTGTCCTGGAGTCTGTCTGTCCCGTCAGCCCTCGCTTGTATTACACCTCAGGGCCTTGCCTTTTTGGACACTGTTTTAGAAGCATCGCCTGCTCCATCCCACATCCTTTTGAATCTGAATTTCATTAGCTGCTCCCAGCAGCACCGGACACTACCGAGTCTCTTCGTTTCATATATCATCTCAGATTTGAAAAGCACAGGAAAATGTTTCTCCATTTTCAATATTGCGTGAGTAATGTTCCCATTGAAAAGTAATGGAGTGAAGTTGTCACTTGTCAGCACTGTTATTAAGGAGGACGAGTCTCAGATCTTTCTCTCATAATAAAATAAATCTGTCAGACAATCACCATGCTTACACTTGCTCATGCCAGCAGGAGACGGGACATGGACGGTGGCTGGCGCTCCTGCAGCTTCCCCCAAGTGCCCTCCTCCATACCCCTGCCAGCTACTGGGCAGTTCTCATAGCATCAACAGATCCGTCCAAGATAATTGGCTCGAGAACCTGGCAAGCAAACAGTTGCTCATTGCACCCCGAATATTGACATTTTGTCAAAAAGAGATTTTCAGTTCTTGCCTCCGTTATCTTTTTGTTGCACAGTAGACTGCCTTAACTTTGAATTGCTGTTTCCTAACCGTCCAGAAGCAATAAGAGGAAACATTGCTTGCCCCTTGAAACAGCTCACCGGGGGTATACCAGTAAGTCACACTGCTGAGTGGTTAATAGACTTTTTAAATCATCTTGACATTAATTTAATCCATACATTTCTGTAGTTGGGCTTCCAGATAACCTTTGAGGGCCCCTCTCTGCTCAGCTATGCTAACCGCAGCTCTAGAATGTGTTTTCTCGCTGGGCGTTGCTTTCCTGGATGGTCCATTGGTTTCTAGTAATTGCATTTTGAACTCTTTAAAAAAGAATTAAAAGATAATTTCGCAGTAGAAAAGTCAGGGGGAAAGTTTAGAAAATTCTTTTGGAATGATGAGTCAGTGCCGACAAACGACTCAGCACCCTGTTGTCCGGAGCTCTGGATGTAGGGGCGAGACCCGTCTGGCAGCCACAACCCTTGCCCAAATGCTAACTTTACTTTTGCTTGCAGTCTAGGAAAGGGAGCGACCCAGACAAAGAGAAGAAAGGCCTGGAGAGCCGTGCGGACAGCATCGGGAGCGGGCGAGCCATCCCAATTAAACAGGTACACTTGTCCCCTTCCCCGCCTCGCTGCAGACACACCTCGGTGCAGCCTGAGATGGGGCTGGCTCGGGCACCAGGGTTTGTTTGATGTGCTCTGTTGATGAATGTAGAAGTCACTCACTTGACATCAATTAGAAGGGGTTCCTGTGTGTATTAAAATGGGATCATTAGAATAAGAAGAGGGAGATGCGACAACAGCTCTAATGAAGTGCGGTCTGCCCGCCTGCATATGGAGTGTGTTTCCATGCTGCACTGGCTTCAAAGGCTGCCTTTGTAGCGTGGCTTTGATTGGGCCGCTGGCCGCCAGGCAACAGGGGTAAATCAGATCACTGTAGAAGAACCCCTTGTGATCACAGGAATAGCCTGACGTGGCCCTAATTTGCTCTTGCAGACGGACATCTGAACACTGTTTCAGGCTGGTCTGTAACAACGAGGCAATTAGTTGTAATAATCATAGCTGGCGTGTCAGCTGTGCGCTCTTGTTTGTAATTTGCTAATGAAGGGATTGTAACTTTGATTAGGTTCAGTTTCATTTAGACCTTATTATACACAGGAACATTTACAGCTGTAATGTGGGGCCTTAATTAAACTTCCCCATTACACAACAGGACTTGAATTCAAGCATTTGTTTTGGCCAATGTTGCTAGCCTGAAATGGGTTTTCATTAGCCCGGAAACCGGGTCCTAAATTGCTTCACGTCTCTAGCAAGACACACTGGAATTCGGTGTGACGTCTTTTGCTGCTTCATTTCCGAAACTAAGAATAAAGAGTTCAGGCCTGCTCAGCAGCTCTGGAAATGTCATCTTTTTTGGTTGATAAAGAAAGCCTATTGATTTAGAGTGTGTTTTTTCTGTTGGGGTGGGGGCAGGAAATCTGTGTGCAGGAAATAGCTCTGCCTTCCATGGATGGCACTGGTGGCCCATTCTTAGCTCTGGATGATCTAGGGCATCTGTCGCCCTTTCCATAGCTACCACCCAGCTTCCCTTGGCCTGTGCGCATGGTCTCTGGGGGTGGGGAAGCGTATTCATGCAGATACAGCGGGCTCTCCTCAGCAGTACAGGTTTTGGCTGTTTGCAGCTAAGGGCTGAAGCCCTTGTGAGAAGCGGGACCATTTCAAACTGGAGACGTGGGAGTTAAAGAGTTGCAGGGGATTTCTGAGAAACCGAGACTCCTGTAGTCCGACCCTCCAGCTGTAGGCCAGAGTGGCCTGTGTGTCACACATGCCCTCTGCCCACAGGGCAGTGTGAGCCTTTAACCCAGGGGAGGGCAGCCTACAGACATTAGCCAAGGCCACTGTGCCTCTGTGTAGGACCACCCTTTTTGTACTGGGTGACAGATTTAGGGGCCAGCTTGCAGCATGCCGAAGAAAAATTTTCACCTTCCACGTGTTTACATACAAGACGCTAGAAGCCTTCCTGGTGCTGAGTTGTGTTTTCCTCGTAAACAGGTTTATTACTTCTGAGGCCCGTGTACATAGTTGTTCACTCACGATGCTTGTTTAATTGTAATCTAACTCTACATAAAGCTATTTTAACGTATGATTTCTGTGCAGTGCTATTTCCTGTAGAGTTGTAAACATTATTGAGCTCTTACTCACTTGAGAATCTGGTGCTGGGACACTGAAGAAGATTGCTACTTAATGGACATCTCCCAGATTCCTGTACATGACTGGCTTGGGGCGGTGGTGGGGGCTCACTTTCTCCGCAGGAAACTCCTGGGTGATGGAGTATCACTTGATGTGTTCCCTGCTCATCTTTGAACAGGGCCGGCTCCTCAAGCCGGACTTTCAGTTTGCAAAGACTGAAGGTGACAGTCTAGGGTAAAGCGAGGGCTCTGCATTCCTGGGGAAGCTTTTCGCTCTTGGGCACTGATACATTCTCCTTGAAATCTAAAAGTCACGGTTTCCTTGTGACTCGTCACCCATTCAGCACCCACAGTGAAGAGCCGTGGACTGACTCCCACCAGGATCTGCTCCCAACGTTACGTGGTCCCACTGTAGTCGATGCTCAGGCCTTATACCCTTCATGTGCAAACTCTCACACCTTGACATTCTGCAGCCAGACTGCAGTTTTCCGTCTGTGATGTTCCGGGTACCCGAGTCAGAGCCTTCCCGAACACTCCCTGGAATAAGATGGAAGCTATAGGTGGTCCGGGTAGTTACAGTGATCTGACTCTGCATGCCGTGTGCGCTCTCATTTTTCAAGGCACATGGATCATTTGAGAGTAGCTGCACTCCTCCCTGCCCTCACCCTGCTGTGGTGACCTCTGTATGGAAACAAGAGGGTTGACAGGACAGAGCCTGAAGGGGCAGTTCCTGCCTTAGAATATTCTAGAAAGTGCATAGGTGGATTTCTTAAATAAGTGAACATCTAAGTGAGAGCTTGTTAGCCATGTGTGGTTTTTTTTTGTTTTGTTTTGTTTTTTAACATGGAGTCCCACTTAACCCCTGCCATTGTAGAGTGGAGACATTAGATCATTTCGATCTTAAGTTAAATGGGTTTAACATTCAGGACTAGGTAGCTGGGAAGGTGGGAACCTCACATCTGTGTTCTTTCCACTCCACAGTGACAAGAAGCCTCCAAAGCAAAGTTACAGTTTAAAGATTAGTGTTTTCTGTATGTGTGTATGTGTGTGTGCCTGTGTTAATTTTGTGTGTGCTATGTGCGTGCAGGTACTTGCAGAGGCCAGAAGGTGGCATTGGATCCCCTGGAACTGGAGTTACAGGTGGTTGTGGCTACCACATGTGGGTGCTACAAACCAAACTTGGGTCCTTTGTAAAAGCCTTGGGTGGTCTTAACCACCATCTCTTCAGCCCCATGTTGTAGGTGTTAAATCAAACATGGGAACTCTCACCTTACACTTATATCTTGTGTTGTGAAGAAGAAACAGCTGAGGCTATCCCTGTAGCGGTATGTTTTTCCTGGGATGCTGCAGGAATGTGCTTCTGTCCTCAGGGAAGCACTGCTGTTCATTTGCAACTGCCCCTCTGTCTCTCTGACACACAACAGAGTCCTTGGTCTTCAATGAATCCTGGTTGAGACTTGTCAGAGTTCTACCCAGCTGCTGGACCTTGGCCTCACGGCAGAGAGGAACCACTTCAGAAGCCCCTGTCCTTGAACACTTGGTGTTGTGGTCATCAGACTCTTCTTCTGCCCCTCCACAGGAATTTTGCCAGTGCTTAGGAATTGAGTGGAGCAGTCTGCATGCCCTGACACCTCCCTCATGGTTGCATGGGTTGCCTTCCCCTTGTTTAACTTTGACTGATAGCTGGCCAAGTCACCCTTACCAGTGACTTCATTTCTCTCTTCCCCCCAATCACAGGTTCCTCAAGAGTAAGGAATTGTTTCTAGGCTATAACTTCATTTCTTCAGGATCTGGGCCCAACTCTTCTTTTGTCCTGTCTGGGTACCCAGGGTGGATGGATTTGCAGAATCCTTTTCTCTTCTTACTAATAGAATAAAGGTCTATTCGAGTAAAAATGAAAAAGCAAAGCAAGAAAAATAAAAGCCAGCGGCCCAGCTCAGCGGCCAGTGGGCTTGTCACGTATTAATTTTTCATCGCTGTGGCAAGTTGTACATACATAATCACTTGATTGCAGTGGGAGTTAGGGAGCTCCTATGGTGTCATTTGCATAAATCTTGTTAAGTCAATGGCAGTTAATGAAGTACAAATGAGCCCGGAGAAGGTGACATGCAAATCGTGGGTGGCAGATGGGAGGTCTGTTTGGGGGACGGCAGCTGTGTACTCTCCTTTCTTCTTTCTCTTTAGCATTTTTTAATCTCTATATTTGAGTGCAGATACACAGCCCTAAGCCTCCTCCTCTCCCGTGGACTCCCAGCCAGGGCCTAATGGTCATGCTGAGAGACGGGGGTGGCAGGAGCATGCCTCATACATGCCCGCGTGCACTCTAGTAGGCGTGAGGTCACTTTAGCTCGTCACACTTCCACAATTGAATTTAGATTTCGGTCGGTGGGGACAAACGAAAACAAGCCTGCGCACAAGTCTCAGCGATTCCAAACATGAAATTACTGTTTCTGCTTAACTGACTTCTGTTTGGGGATCTTCCTTCTTCATGCAAGCCAGCTGCAGGTAGATCAGCTCAGAGTCCTATCCCATGAGCCTGCCATACCCACAGTGGCCCTGCTGTTGAGATCAGGCCCCGGTGAAGACTCCATCTTGTCAGAGCCACAGGCCAGTCTCAGCTTTGCCTGGGGTGTCCTCGCTTGGGGGAGGTTTTACAAAGCCCTGCAAAACACTGCTTCTGCTTCTGCTTTTGGAAGCCCTGGGCTTGATACTGGATCCATGGTTTTGAAATTTTGAGAGACTCTAGACTTCACCAAAGGACCCCAAGGAGGTGTGGGTAGAGAACCTGAGCCCTGCGGCAGGAGGGTGCTGGGTCCTCTGCCCACATCCTTGGGGTTCCTCCGAGCAGTTTCCAGGTCTTTGAATCTTCATCCTCCTCTGCTGTGGCTCAGGAGACACGTCTCTGCAATTGTGGAGAAAGACCCTATCTTGTGGCACTACTTCAGTGTCCTAAAGTGGGGGTGGGGGCCTCAAGTCCCGGAGGCCTTCACGGTCAGAGCAGGTTACGCTACCCTAGTCCTAATAGCATAGTAACCCCTCCAACGTCCTCCTCTGCCCAGGGGGCTTGAGTGATGTTGTGCTGTGATCTGTCAGAGTACTGTGGGGTGACAAAATACCCCTCAGAAGAGCCTAAGGGAAGGAAGTGTTGTTGATTCTGCATAGCTCCAGAATGTGGTCCATCGTGGCAGCAGGAGTGTGGGGCAAGCAGAGAGAGACAAGGGCTGGTTCTCAGTTCTTGTCTTCCCTTCTTCTCGTTTTATAACATCTGCAATCCCGGCCCTCAGGTGATGTCGGCCACATTCAGTGGGGTTTTCTTTCCAGTGGGATGACTCCCTAGAAATGCCCTCACAGACACACATGCCCAGGGGTATGTCTCTGGCTGGTTGACAGTGAAGATTCAGCATCACACACCTTCCC